AAAAAAAATTTTTTATTAAAAAAAAAACAATTTTTTTATGAAAAAAAAGATTTGAGAACAGACAAAAAAAAAGAAAGAAAGAAAAAACAACTAAATGAATGCGAGTAGTCAGAGACACGCTAGGCTAGTTAAAAAATATATTTTCTTCTAAAATTACTAGCTATTTCTTTACACATTTGGATTATCCTATAAAGATAACGTGAAATAGTGAAGAGCTCGAGACTAGAATCAAATTATAAACATTCAATTATACATGCTTCATAGTACTCATTGCTTTTAATATGGATTTCGAAATTCTAGAACTAACTGAAAAGTGCAGAAAAGTTAAAACTCAAAAGTTCAGAAATGTTAAAACTAAAACTAGAATAATAAAATAGAACGCAGATGCTGACCAGTCATAACGGTATTTTTTACATATTTTTAGCTTGGCCTAAGCGCCATCATTCTGCCATATTAGCTTACATATTCAAGCAACAAATCAAACATTATGCTTCAAAAGTCGTCGTGTCGGACTCGTGCACATATGTACATATCTGCTAAAAGACTATAGCTACAGCAGCTTTCTCCAAAACTAGTTTTGGACCAGAGTTGATAATTTTTGAGCTAGTTAAATTTTAGCGTGAAAATTTCGCTCACACTTCTTCGCGATTTTATTTGAATTATCTAACGGAAAATATTAGGGATTAAAACTGATAATAGAATTTTGCATAGTAAAAAAGTTGCAAATATTCTTCGTACGTTCAAAATAATAAAAATTAACAGTAATAAGCTTTCTCTCCCACACTTTTTAAGCGCTCAAAACAAAATTAAACTACTTTGTAATTTTGAATTTTTTTTAATTTTCTTTAGGTCATGGTAAAAGAAATGGCAAAATTTTTAATTGTTTTGCAACATTTTTTATTTTTTTTTGAGGTTATGATCAATAACTGCATTCGCTGATTTAGTTGCGATTTCGCAGATAAAAGTAATTAATGATACAGGTCAAAATAATAAACATATTAACAGTAACTTTATAAGCGTTTAAAAGAAAATTTTAATGTTTTTAAAGCTCTGAAATTTTTTATAGATTATGTAAAAAAAATTTAGCTTTTCTTGAAATGTTTAATAGGTTATGATTCAAAAAAAATTTACGTTTTATGCACAGTTTTGAATTTTTTTTTATTAATGATTTTTTGAATGATCAAAAACTAAATTTGCTGATGTTGCGAGTTTACATAGAAGTAGTTAATAATACAGGTCAAAATAATAAACATTTTAACTGAACCTTTATAAGCGGTCAATAGAAAATTCGACTTCTTTCAAAATTTTGAAATTTTTGTTTAGGTTATGATAAACCTTTTATGCAAATTTTTCATGATTAAAAACCAAATTCGCTGTTGCACGAGTTCACAAATAAATGTAATTAATAATAAAGTTCAAAGTATTTAACATTTTAACAGCGAAATTTTACAAAAAGTTTAACTTTGGTAGAGAAAGAAGAACAATTAACGAAAATTAAAACAAAATTTTCAAAAATAAGTTTACTCTTATCTCATTACAAGTGCGCAAAAGAAAATTAAACTAATTAATAGTGGTTTTTTAAACCTTTTTGCAAAATTTTTTTGAGGTTATGATCAAAAATTCAATTTGCATACAATCAGTTGATAATAAAAAAGCTCTAAATATTTAACATTTTAACAATGAAATTTTACAAAAATTAATTTTTTTCCATAGCGAAGGTAGCACAATTAACGAAGATAAAAAGAAAATTTGTTTGAAACAGAATCTTAAAAGTATTGAACAACAATGTGAACTGAGTGGTTAAAATTGGTATTAAAAATCGTGGTAAATTTAATAACTTGACTTTACAAACTCGTTTTATATTTTTCCAGCATTGCAGCAGCGCGCTACAATGCTCTGAACGCCTGGCAGAAGACGCGCAATCGACAACAATTAATCAACTCAACACAGTTTTACTCGCTGTTGACTGCTTGACAGTGCCAGTTGGCCAAATTGGATGTAAATTAACAGTTAATTTTCGCTTAATATTAAATATATTTAGTACTTGGTAAGTTTAATAATAAACGCTTATACTCCTACACGTTTTTTAAAAGCAAAGCGCGCTTACTTGTGCTTATATAATACACATAAACCTATGTACATATGTATTTCTGAAGAATTGCAATGCGCTTGTCATTTCATTAACGTTTTTATTTCATAAGTTACAGTGTTTTAAAATTAATTCAGCAACAGAATAATTAAGCCAAAGTTATTGTAAGCAAAATATATGCATGTAATATAAAAAATTCATCAAAGTATTTAAATATTTGTTTGTTTTTTTTTGTTGTAATTTTACAGCTTCTTACTTGTGGAATTTAAGAACAAAAATTGAACATTGTAGTTCGTACAGCGTTTGTAATATAGCGCGTATGTTTGTATATATAAGTATGTATGTAAGTAAACATGTTTAAAAACTAAATAAATTTCAACTAGCATTTGTTTTACATTATATAGATGTATGTAAATATGTATATTGTTTGTAAGTGGTATGTTATAATTATTTGTTGTTGTTTTTTTTTTTTTGCTTCAATAAAGTTTCATTTTATAAAATTGCTACATAAATTTAAGTTAATTGTAAGATTTGCACAAATCTTGTGTACACGAATTCGTTGCAATAAATCCAAGGGGGGTCAGGGGTTAAAAATTGAGCGCAAATAAAATGTACACGAAAATTCAGCAAAGCGTTGACCGTCAACAAAATTCAAATGGTGTAAAAAGTGATGCGCATGCGTACACCAACTGAGAAATGAGCGCTGCTGGAGCATGCAAATAGCGTTAAATGCAATACGTTAAGCAACAGCTGGGTTGAAAGTTGCAAGTTTTCTAGCTACTGACGCTTTAGCGCATACATTTTACGCTGACTGCATGTTAAGAGCAGCAGCTAATTGGTCAGCAAACTGCACAAATGTCATCCTACGCATGCGCCGCAGTTCGACTAAACTTCTGGCCGCACCACGACGCGCCGCAGTTGTGTGTATTCTCCAAAATATGTTTCGTTTGTTGTTTTTTTTTTAACTTAGTTTAAGCGTTCTTTTTCAATACTCTATCAGTTAGCTGTGCCTAGTAATTATAACTACAACGTTTGTCGCGATTTTTTCCACGCGTTATTGTGCGTGCCTTGAAGGCGGCGGCGTTTAGTAGATGCTGCAATAAAAGATTTTCGATTAAATTTTGTACAAATCATTTATAATATGTGTAACTTACGCGCTCCAGTTTGGACTGTTTGGTTTTGGTGTGTCCATCGTCGACGAGTTTAGGGCCCAATTGAAAGATGTCGCGTATGAAATCGTTCTCTTGCAACTGTGATGTCATGCCTGGACCCATAATGGTGCACAGCGCTGAATATTGATGATGTACGGCCCAAGAATCTAAAACGAGACACTCAGTGCCAAAGCGAATGTTGATTTCGGGTGATGTATCCTCCTAAATGGTGGGGAAAAAGTGGAATTTCGCATTTTTAGTTGAAAGCGTCACGCATATGTATTTGTGAAAGCGGGTAGGTAATGATGGATGTATGTGTGAATGTATATTTGTCCATGCCCATGTTAAATGATAGTTTATCCAACATGCCGATTTTATGCAATATTTACAATAATTAATTAATTCACTCGTCCAGTTAATCAGGTCATTTCTGCACGCCTTTCAGCACTTATTCAACACACACACAAAACGACATGAAATTCCTAACTAAAAAGCGTTGACTTCGGTCGAATCCAAGCTGTAATACTCATGCAGTTTTCCAAACAAAAACTTGATTTTGTTCGGCCTGTTTGTATGGCAGCTATATGCTATAGTTGCCCGATCTGAACAATATATTCGGAGATTGTAGCACTGTGTTCTATAATAATTTCTGCCAAATTTAGTGAAGATAGTTTGTAAAATAAAAAAGTTTTCCATACAAAACTTTATTTTGAACGGTCAATTTGTATTGCAGCTATACGCTATAGCATACCGTTTAAAAAAAAAAGTCAGAGATTGTAGCGTTGTCTTAGACAATAATCCTCTCTGAATTTCGTAAAGCTGTCTTATCAAATAAAAAAGTTTTCAATAGAAGAAAGGTTTTAAACGATCAGTTTGTTGGCAGCTATGAGCTATAGTGGCCCGATATCGGCGGTTCCGACAAATGAGCAGCTTCTTGGTGGGAAACGGTCATATTCTAAATTTCAGATCGATATCTACAAAACTGAGACTAGTGCGCGTACATATATATAGACAGACAGACGGACATGGCTAAACCGACTCAGCTTGTCACGTTTTAAATACATATGTACATATATTATAGTGTATACGAAGTTTCCTTCTGGGCGTTACAAACTTCGTGGCAAATTAATATACCCGGTTCAGGGTATAAAAATTATGCTACACCAACTTCTCTTACATGAAATTTTTGTCAATCAAAATTTTTTTTGTATTCCACTTTTATCAAACTCATATTTAAAAATTATAAATAAAAAATATTATTTTCTATCTGGTTTTTCTAGCAAAAAATTCTTGCATAATACAAAATAAAATTTAAATTGTAAAAAATATTGCAAAATTTTTAGTAATAAATTAAAATAGTGTAGCCGTTACTTAGAACTAAAACGAAAAATTTAGCAAAATGCTTGTAACCACCTACCAACACGACTACGTGCCACCCTACACCAAACGCTATGAATTTGTCAAGAAGCTAGACAAAGCAGAAAAGGAGAAGGAAGAGTGTCAATGCATCGACACAGCAAAAATCGAGGTGCCCAAAGCCGCGCAGGACAAGTGCGAAAGCACTGCAGAATGGACAGGCATTGCACCGATGGGACGACTCATCGATCCACGTATCATACCGACAAAACTGACACCCGAACAAGCCGACAACTTAGCCAAAGATACGGATGCCGATTGCTTTAAGGCGCAACCGAATCGTTTTCTGCAAATATTGCGCACCGCCTATCCCGATTTGTATGATCGCCTAAAGGAAATGCCTAAAGATGAGCTGAATAGACGTTTGGAGCGTCAACGGCTCTTCACCACGTATCAAATTGATTATTGTAATATGAATGAATATCCGGAAGGTATATATGAGAGTCTCAAAGAGAAGGATGATACTGCTAAACTCAACGCAACAAAATTGCTGCAGAAGGAAGGCGCTTGTGATGTCTTCCGCGCCAATGTAATGAAGGAATTGGACAATCAAACACGCAATCCGACCATCACAGATCCCTGCGAGCATGCGTACAAGCCGTTCAAGATCTCCTTTACGGACAGTGCGCGTTTCATCAATAGCGGCAATAATTCGCATTGGCGCAGCAAAGCGTTTGTCACGCGCACCAACTTCTCCGAGTATATGGAAACGATTAGCCGCAATGGTTGTGTTATTATGAAAAATAATATACATGATCACAGCAAGTGCGGCAGTAATGGCAAACACTGCCGTCATCCGCTGCTGAATGTTTGCATAAATCATGTACGATGAGCAAAGTGGACGGAATGCTTGCTGAAACTCAAGTTTGTAACGTGTTTTATTTTTATTTACTTTATATGCTTGATAAGTGTCAGCAGTGTTGTCACTATTGTCGAAGAGCCAGTGAATATTGTTTGGTATGCAGCTGGGTTAATGCAAACTTGCGGTATAATTATTACGTACATATGTAAACTGCTGGATAATTAAGTTGCAATTACACTACAGTGCTCAATGTTATGGCACCAAATAAATTTATAGTCAAACATTTAGTAAATCAATATTTTTCAAAAAAAAAATCGAAAAGTGATTTGAATTTAAATAAATTGTCAAAATAATATTTTGAATTAAAGCTTGTTTATAGTAAGTTTTTTGAGCGACACATGATAGAGACAATATTATATAATTATTAAAAAATAAATAGTGAATATTTTGATTAAAAAAAAATACTTTCATACTAATAGCGTTGTCAAAACTTCGTTCATAAATTTAATTTAAAAAAATAAGAAAAAACGTTAAATTCGGTGGCACCAAAGCTAGAATCCCCACCACAAATAAAAAAATTGCCATACATGAACTTTATTTCGATCGTTCAGTTTGTATGGCAGCTGTATGATATAGTGGTCCGATCTGAAAATTTTTTTCGGAGATTGTATTGCTGCCTTGGACAATAATTCAAACAAAATTTCGTAAAGGTATCTTGTCACAAAAAAAGTTTTTTCTACAACAACTTGATTTCGATCGTTCAGTTTGTATGGCAGCTGTAGTGATCTGATATTGGCGGTTCCGACAAATGAGCAGCTTCATAGGGAGAAGTGGAGGTGTGCAACATTTTAGACGGATATCTCAAAAACTGAGGGACTAGTTCGCGTATATGCAAACAGTCGGACAAGCGAACATGGCCAAATCAACTCAGCTCATCAAGCTGATCATTTATGTATGTATTTTATAGAGTTTTCGACTTTTTCTTATGGGTGTTACAAACTTCGTGGCAAACTTAATATACGACCAACATTTTGGGTAATACTCTACTAAAACTAAGTACCACCATATTGTAAATTTTTGATTTTTATTCGACCGTCTATTTTCAGTAGAGATTGCTTTTAGGTTTCATTCACGGAGAAGGTCGGAATAACCGTAGCAGTGAAGGTGTAAGTCGAAAACTAATTAATTTTTACCAACAAAATTTTTTCTTTACGTTCTTAAAATATGTATAAATATACCGTTAAAATTTGAAAACAACTGTAGTGCAGTATTTTTTTTAAGTGTATCACTTAAAATATACATCAGTCAATCATTGCATATTACTTCACTAGACATACTAGCAGACCATAAACGCGCTTGCGACACACACTTGTCGAAAAACCATAACAATGTATAATAATAATAAAATGTGGCACTTACCTCCAAATAGTGCAGCACATCACGGAATGTGGCGCGTTGAGCTTTACGATCACGCTTGGCGCGATATTTATGCGAATCAGTAGCTAGCTGTTTAACAGCATCGATCAAATCACCAAGATACTCTTCTAAGAAGTCTTTGTCATGTGCACGACCGCACTCCAGTATTAGTGCTAAGTTTTCACCAGCTGCGATACGCACATCCAAATGTGGCGACTGCAATAGACCCATCAATTTTTTCACAGAGCTAAAAATATGAAATAAATAGAATTAACTAAATGTATGAACCAACATTATAGCATTAAAACTCACGGCAACATCGGCTGTCCATTGGTCATGAGTGACACGAAGTCACCCGATGGTATTAGTGTGAGCAGTAAGCCCCAAGCGGACAATGCTTCGGCGTGCAAGGTGCCTGCCTCGGCATTCACCGATATTGGCGATTTCTCGTCACCACGTAAATAGCTGGCGCTAAAAATGCCTTCGAAAAATTGCATTAATGTGATAAGATCACCAATATCTTCGCCACCGAGGAAATTCAATAGACCTAAAGCGGTGCAACATTTGGCACGTGCATCGAATGAAACCGCCTTGTCTTGCACGGTGGTCAGCAGACACTGGTTCAATTCTTTTGAGATTTCAACATCACCGCCCAATTGTAGCAGCACTAACGGAGCTAGACGTGCAGCGCCCGACTGTTCGGCGCCTTTGCCACGTCGTATGGACTTCTCAATGCAATCGATCAATGTCACCTTGCGATCATCTACGAAATCGGGCATATAGCGATGCATGAGAATTTCACAGATATTCTGCAAAGCTGTGGTGCGTGTCTGTGCAGACTTTTCCGTAGCACTTTCGAGTGCTTGCATGAATTTTTCCTCGAAACGTTCATTGGATGAGAGCTCATCCATATCGTTGATGGATGAAGGTGCATTCTCAGAAACATAAGAATACACACTGGCATTATCGTTGAAGGACTCGTCCTCAGAGTTGGAGTCACCGTTGCGGCCTGTAAAAGAAATTGAAAAAAAAACAAATTTTAGTATGTGGATTAAGTTAAGATTTAATTAGAAAATATTATGAATAAATAAATAATAATAATTGCTATGTTATAAATTCGCATATTTTCCAGATTATTCCTGCTGCTACCTTAATGTAAAACTTTTTGTAGTAATGGCCACACCTAACCTAACATAAAAAAAATGGAGTTTACAGCATAAAACTACAAGTTGCGAGAGCATCTCTTCAGATAAAATTAACATTACGTCATAGATTTGGTACATAAATGAGATTTCTATTGAACTTTGCCGCCACACTCTCACCACACAGCAAGAAGTATTCCATAGCAATAGCAGATATGCTATTTTTAAAAATGTCATATAATTTGTATACAAAACAACACCAAATAAAACTACGCGTGGGTGTATACATACATACTTATATATGTATTTGGTACGTATTTAGAAACAAAACGCCTCCACATGCCAAGGCGGCATTGCTCTCAAATAAAAAAAACCTAGTAAAAACGTTAACTTCGGCTGCACTGAAGCTGTTCTACCCTGCATAGGTGCATTTCTTATGGCACAAAAGAGTATAAAAATATATTTATTTTTGTATCGGTCAGTTTGTATGACAGCTATATGTTATAGTTGCCTGATCTCAACAATAAGTTCGGATATTTTAAAATTGTCTTGGAAACTAATGCATGCCAAATTTCGTAAAGGAATCTTGGCAAATAAAAAAGTGTTTCATACAAGGTCTCGATTGTGTTCCGTCAGTTTGTATGGCAGCTATATGTTATAGTGTTTCGAAATCAGCGGTTTTGACAAATAAGCAGATTCTTGGGAAGATAAAGAAGTGAGCAAAATTTCAAATCGATATCTCAAAAACTGAGAGCCAGGTTCGCGTATATACAGATGGACTTCATATACCCTCTTCAGAGTATAAAAAAATTCGAGAAAGCAAAGTATACGACACAAAGCACATATAAACATACATAGTTCCAACTGGATGAAATGCTGTGCAAATATACTTTGAGTGGTGCGCGTGGTTAGATATGACTTGAGTGTTTTATTTTGCTATTACAACTGCTGCCTACATACATACATACAGACGTCAACGGCGAAAAGTCGAGAGTCATGTAGAATTGCATTAGTATGTATGGAGGCATGTACAATAGTAGGAGCGAAGAAGAAGAAGCTTTGACGCATTTTTATGAATGAATCATCTACGCCCATAAGCATTACAAACGAGGCTACCAGTTCACACTAGTAAGCGTAAATCGATATGTAGGTATGTTTGCTTGTTAGTTACATAGAAAATTCATGATGGCACATGGCAGTTGGGCGGCTACTGAATGGTGAATAAATAAAGTGCAAAATCAACAACAAATGTTGTTAGGAAAGTTTAGCAAGGTATAGGCAACTATGCTTACATATAGAGATATTTGATTGCATAAGATAGTGGGCTTCTATAAATAGGTGAAATATGTAAATAAAGAGGAGATGGTAGCATGATTTATTGATAGCACAGTAGCTATTCGAGAATATTACCTATTATTTGCAAGCCGGGTTGCAAATTTTTTGATTAACAAATTTTCGGTAAAATAAAATTTAATTTTTCTTCTCAAAATTATAATTAAAGACTGGTAATTTAGTTTTTAATCCCAAAATGAGAAATAAAAGTTTAGAAAATATTTTTTGATACAAAGATTGGAGTAATAAAGAAAACAAAATAAATATGTTTCAAATCAGAAAATGGAATGAAGTGTTAAAAAAGAAAGATATACATATTTCTAACTGAAACTCTATAATTAAAAGTAAATAAATGAAAATAAGACAAAAAAAGTTAAATTATGTTGATATTTTTTTGAAAAAAAAAAACTTTTATTTTAAAAAATTTTGAAAAAAGGTAGAATAAGAAGTACGCAAGCACGAAAGTATTTAAATAATGTTTTTAATTGTAAATATGAGCTTAAGATTAAAATTTTCTTTTTATTTTTCAAAATTTTTAAGTCAAAAATTTGCATTTTCCATTTTAAACACTATTTTTGGGTTTAAAAATTTATTTTTAATTTTTGCAACCAGTATTAAGAAAATTGTTTTTAATTAAGATTTTCAGAATTAAAAATTAAGAAAATTTAATTTATGTGTTAAATAAATTTGCTTGTTAATGCGTTATGTTAATTGCAACCCTGATAGCAAGTGATTAAAAATCAAAGCAAATTAAACACAAAAATAAATACCAAATTGAAGGAGTTACTACTATAATAAAAGAAAAATGCTATCTGAGCGCTTGCACGTAAATATTTATTATTTACAGTTAAGAAAAAAAGTGCAAAGTCATCATTTATACCAAAAATACATATGTATTATTAATAAAAAGAAAATATATTGACACTAAATAATTCATGATAAAGCAAACATAACTGATGCAATAGAATAAATAGCAAGTAAGCGGTAGTCCAATTTCAGCGTGTCAATGAGCCCTAAACACAAAATAAATATGTGCTGTTTCGGAATTCTGTACATACTTATGTACTTCGATTTAGATTTTTTCGTCTAATATTTGTGTTGAATTATGATACTTTGCGACAACAATTAAAATTAAACAGGAAAATGCTCAGAGATTGCCATACTGCAATAAACTGGTTTCCATATATATAGAACATATCGATATATAATTTATTAAATTTTTTAGTAATACTAAAAGTAACTGAAGATATTGCGCAAGTAAATTAATAAAATGGGAATCACAAGCAAAATTTGCGATTTTAAATGCTACTTAAAACATTTTTTTTACTTATTTAGTTACTTACATAATTATATTTATAATTTATATTCATAAGTATTTTTTTTTGTGTAATATTCAATTTAATTTAGAATCAAATATTCATACATATGTTTGAGAAAAAAGTGCCATAGCTGCTACATTTGAGTCATTGCACCAAATTTTATTCGATTATTCTAATAAGTGAGGTTATACATTCTTTACATACATACATACGCGCACAAAGAAATGTATAATCTACATATTATGCATTATATTTCATTAAATGTTTATATAGTGTGTGTCTATATAGTATAAATTATACATACATAGGCATAACTGAGTATTTTGTTTTGTTTGTGGGTGAAAGAATTATACTCGGCTATACAGCTTTTATATGCACAATAACCTGTCGGCCTTCAACTAAATTTTTACCAAAAACAATTTATTTACTCTTAAGCATGTTTGTTTGCGCTTTGAAATTGACTAATTAAATATATAAACGCTTTCCGAGACTTAAATTAAAGTGTACCGATGGACGACTAAACTGATCGACCAAAATCAAGTATTTGTATGGAAAACTTTCTTATATGACAAGATCACTTCACAAAATTTCGTATAGATTATTATCTAAGGCAGCGCCAAAATCTCTGAACATATTGTATAAAACGGACTTCTATAGCATATAGCTGTCATACAAACTGACCGATCAACTGCCGTTCCCACGACAGTCGGAACTAAGTAACCAGAACGGACCTGAATCCGACCAAGGACTGTCAACTCGACATCACTCCTCGAAAAAAATTCAGGAATGTTTTCCGCCAATTCAAGAACAACAACAACAATCTTTCAAATCAAGGTATATATATGTTTTACCCTTTTCCCCCTATAAGAAATGCAACTGTGAAGATTATTATAGCTTCAGTTCAGGCGTAATTAACACTTTTCCTTTTTTTTTATTTGAGAAAAAATTTGTCAAAAAATTATCATTACTTTGTTACAAATACTTTCAACATTTATTTACATATTTCTAATGAATTTTTTTTAATTACTTTTCACTTTTGTTGCTTGGCAATCAGCTTGCCAATCGGAAACTTGCAAAACGAATAGAAAGTAACATTTAGAGCAAATTTCTTTACATATTTATTTTCTCAATTTCTCAACTGTGCATCAGAGATATACAAAGAAACTTCCGCAAGAAAGCGATGCATCACAGTCCAACTAAGAAAGAAATTCCAATGCAGAAGCGAAAATAAAATTTTCCTAAAATTTATATGAAATTATTTATGTACACACATTTATACATTTTATATTGGTATAGTAATGTATGTGTATCTAAGGCATTTCGCTTGCTACTGTGCATTTGGCACAAGGTGATTTCCGCTTCAGCTAAAACGAGCACATAAACCAGAAAGGCGCATGACAACATAGGTGTTTTTTATGTAAGTATATAGATTTGTGTGCATATGCACGAAATGTGCAATCACAAATCGTTAAAAACACACTACTTAACAGTTTGCCTAATGCATAGGCTGGCTGTCGGCTCGGCAGGCGAGGAAAACCCCAGATGTTTAAACGGCAAATTACGAACCATGCACAGCATAACACTTTTGTGTAAGAAACAAGTTTTACGTACCGAATGTGCAATTGAAACAAAGAAAATTAACAAAAAATATATATATATATTTCTGGCATACCGCATGCCTGACACAAAGCAGCAAACAGCTGATTGCATTTGTTGTGTTGGGAGAGCCGTTGACATGACTGCAAATGCAGACAACTATTAGCCAGACAGGCTGGCCTTCGCAGGCATTCTCAGTGCAACACAAATCATACTTAAGAGTATGTGTGTATGTAACAACTGTGTTTGTGTGCGTAAAATGAAAGTTGCTGGCCTGGTTGGGAATTTGGCCAAAGCAGGTTTGAGCCAATTTGGTTGGAGTTGGAGTTGTAGTCGGTTTGACAAGTATTAGAGGCCATTGATGTAACTTAGGGTGCAGTTTCGTACACAAACACACACATCTACATTTATGTTTGGCTCAAAAATGGGCAAAAAGAAAAATAAACAAAACCTGCTTGGAAAATACGAAGTAGGCCAATCGAAAGGAAAATATGAAAGGACCATTGCATAAGTGAATTAAGAGGCATGTGGTATGCATGTAGGAGTCTATAAAAAAATATATGTGGCTAGCTTACCGCTAACAGTTTAGGTAGGCACACAAAAGTCAAATTCGAAATAGCATTTTCATATCATCAACCTCTGTAAAACCATCTGCCGACATTTAACGCAGATCATTTAAACCTATTTCTGTCGTGGAACAGCTATTGTAATATTATTATATTAATTTATTATTATTATGTTTATTTATTATTATTATGTTTATTTATTATTATTATGT